ATCATCATTCTTTAATCTGTACAGTTTAAAAAATGGCGGGACTTAAATGCTGTACTTTCTAAACAGGAGAATGCATTCGTATACAGGAACATTTCCAAAAATTCTGAAAGTTGACCTCTGAACCTATATAATCCAATTTTACATGTGAAGTTTTATGTGAGGTTTTACACATTGTTTTTAATTCCCTTTTGAGCAACATAACCAACTGCACTGTAACAGAAAAAAGAGAGCCCCCCTTTCTGTTTTAACAGACAGATAACTGGAGAAGAGGTGCCTCTGCATCATTTCTTCATTCCTAATGGAATTTTATTCTGATGGCGAGCTACTTTCAACAGTAGTGCTAAGGAAGAAACTCAGCACCTCCACACTTCCCTTTGTGAAGGCAATTCACTTGCCTACTAATTAATCTGCCTAAGAGGGATGGTTCTTCCAGAATAACACTGTCTCTATTGGTGGAAAACTTCCAGTACTGAAATTTATTGAACCATCAGAATATATCAGTTAATAAAATGGTATAAACGCTGGCACTAATAAGGTTTACAGAAGAAAACCTTTCTACGTTGCAGCCACAACGAAAGAAAATCCACGAACGTTGGAACAACAGCAACTGAATGAGAAAAACAGGCACCTGGAAGGATCCTTACGATATTGAATGCAACTAACGGATGATTAGTCAAAATAGTTCCCACGCCACAGTCCGCCCTCAGAATCAGACATGTACATTTCAAAAAAATACACTATACTGACATCTAAGAGTAGCATCAGAGCTGCTCAGTGCTTTGGATTCCATCTCCAGAAAGTGTTGGGGGTTGTGAATGTTACTCCTGCCTGCAACACCTTGAGTCAGCTAGATGCAGGTGTTCCCAGGTGTGCAACAGTGCAACGTCTGTGCGTTCTGAAGCACCTCTTGGAGGTTGAATCTGAAGCACTGAACGGCCCTACAAAGGTCGGCCTCCTGGTCAGTCCCAGAACCGACCGTTCTAGCACCCTGTTTCCAAAGGTTCCCTGTGCCCAGGTAGGACCTGATGAAGATGCCCCCCCTTCCGCCTTTCAGGTCCCTAAAGCTATACTATGCCTGAGTTTGGAAGATCTGTGGCAGCAGCATGAGCAGGAACCACTTGCAGATTTACCCTCCACAGACTGGTCTTTGCATCCTTTGTCTTTGACACATCCTTGAGGAAGAAAGAGGCAGAGAACTGTGGGGGGAAAAACCCTCCTTCGCATCTAATTTGTTTAGAAATTGGCAATTGTCAGCTGCCCAGCAGGGAGAATGTGAAAGCTGCTAATTGTTCTATTGAATTATAGAGTCACAATTAAATTGTGACTCTGTTATTTAATATACATATTTTTCTCTAAACTGGTCGTGCGACTGTTGCTTTTCAACGAGCAGTAAAACTTGAAAGATCACTTCCTATTAATTATGAGTTAAATTGATTAGGTCAGGATGTGATCTGATGAGATTAATCTATGCAGATGTGAAAACAATCCTTCCTGATTAAATGCTCAGGAAATATCTCTAAATAAAAACAATGCAATTGAGTTCCCTTCCCGTTTCTCTTCTCTGAAAAGAAGAAGGGAAACACAGAGGACTGTTTTATGGTCCACACCATCGTTCTCCTTCTCATAAAGGAGAATGGAAACCTATGTTCCCAGTGAGGAAATCTCCCACAGGAACAGCCGCCAGGATCCGGCCTCTCTTCCTTAGATATTAGCTCCAAAGACCTCAGCTATAAAAAGGTCGCCAGGCAAATCAATCCGGATTTTGGGGAAATAGAACAAAACTCATCTAGGAATTCCCTGCAATCGCTCCTAACTTGATTTGGTCTTGCTAGAGCTATACTGAAGGGTTGGTCAACCTACTAGGCCGTAAGAGCTGGCTTAGAAGGGCTGGGAATGAGCCAGCCAGAAGCGCTCTTGAATTTAAGAGGACGTTAAGCAATAGAAGGAACAGAAGGAACTTGGCCATTCCTGAGTTCAGCTGAAACCTGGCCATCGCGTTGGTAGAAAATGCTCCACGGCATCTGCGGTCTGAATGCCCTCTGTCTGGAGCGGCTACTGCTGGCTGCATGCAGTTACCTCAAAAGGATGCAATGGGCCTAGAGCAGTGTTGTCCAAACTTGGCCACTTTAAGATGGGTGGACTTCAACTCCCAGAATT